GCTTAACCAAAGCCAGTGCTACGGTGTTCAACTTGTAACCTATGTGTTGCCCCATTGACTTCAAATAATGTTAAGCCTATTCCAAACAATGTCTTAAGCCAAACGGTACAACTTCGACAGGAGAAACTTGTCTGGGTTGGTACCAAGTGGACTAGCCCTGCCGGCATCCACCACACACTGGAAGATGTTTGCTCGCTTGCCAAACTTTAGCGTCTTGCATGGCAAACACTCGTACCTCAGGAGGTTCATTTCGCTTCCCCACCTCCCAACTAAGATTGGCATTACCCGACCGACCTATTATGCCATCCAACTACTCACAATGAAACAATTGGTCATTAGAAAGACAGAACTTAAGACATTCGCACCATACATAAAGCCCAAAATGGAAGCCTAGAAGGCACAATGAACAAACAAAAACCTAACCACCGATCGCACTTTAATGCTTTTTTCCAAAGCAACCACGAAGCTTTCAAAATAACGTAGCTCTATTCCTCTTCCAGCAGGAGATATAACGCCCAGCGCCCGGAGGAGAGAGCACAGAAGGATCGGCCAAACACCACGTATTCAAAACCCAACATTCGACGACGTATTATAATAGACACACTATAAGACGCATCACACCAAAAACGGAAAATCAGCTACTTGCGAGACATGCAGTGAGTAGCATGGGCATTGTGCAAAACGACTACATTAAGTTAAAAGTACTGAGCTCTCCCACCACCACGCCCCCACGTGAAAGCATACTGGAGTAGTTAGCTCTACATTTGAAAATACGCAATCCAAGAAAACGCCCAAGTACAACCATTTAGAAATTTAATAACTAGATGTCCACGCCACAATATACTAAAAAAGCCAAACTTGCAGGCGAATCAAAGCATCACTTGTTAAGCTTCTTCTTTGGGCGAAGGTTGCTGTTGTGACCACACTTCCTTTTGCGGCAATTTGTCGCGCGCGGATGGAGACGAGCGTAACACTTACGACAGATCATCTTCTCACATTTATACTTCATGGCCACGGCCTTCATCGTAGGATCCATTGCACCACCACGAAGACGAAGCACAAGATGAAGCGTTGACTCCTTCTGAATATTGTAGTCGGACAAGGACCGCCCATCTTCTAATTGCTTGCCAGCAAAAATAAGACGCTGCTGGTCCGGAGGGATACCCTCCTTGTCTTGAATTTTTGCCTTCACATTCTCAATAGAGTCAGAAGGTTCAACCTCAAGGGTGATGGTCTTGCCGGTGAGAGTTTTGACAAAAATCTGCATCACGAGGAACGGCTACCACTAGTGCGTACAAGCGCCGTACTTTTCCTTGCGCACTCAAACAAGGCGTTGTGATTTATTTAAATCGTGAAACTTGATGATTATATTTATTTAAAAAAATATAATTAACTTACAACTTATTATCAATGTGGTCACAGGACGTACTGACTCGAAAACGTAGGAATTCGGCTTTTGATTGAAATTAATTCGCCTAAATATATACGTTTCCCAATTTATCACTGCAGTCTGTTTCTAATTTCTTTGTCATCGAATCTTTTTTGTCATAGAATAAGAAATTCATCCAATGCTGCAATACGAATGTCTCAAACCTGAGGTCCTATTCCCTAAGACGAAGCCAACTTACCGAAACTAATAGAGACTATGCAGTGTCAGTCATTCGAATAAGGTTGTCTCTTCCCTTCACTATTTGTCTTATATAATACT